AGTCTAATTGAAACAGCAATCAAGTCCATCGACACCTTTCAACTGAAAGCTCTAGGTATAAATGAGACATAGGTTAATTCAGTTACCAACACGGCTAGAATCCAAAGAAGATACCTAGCTCTTTTTTATAATTTCCCATGTCATCAAGAGAAAACTCCTCAACCAAACAGAATTGATGCTATGATATTCAAGCAAGACATGAATCACCAAAACCATTCAGTCACAGAGAATAAAATCGAGTGCGATTTCAATATTTACTTCACTCGGTTCAAATAAATATTTGATTGAAATAGACGATGCTGGACAACAAGCTGATGTTCATGCCATTACCAACGATTCAGATCATACATACCCCACAGGAATTCCTGATAATAATAACGAATTCTATTAACATACTTGATGATAAGAATACTACTGATAATCAACACTTGACGTCTTTATAACTGACCGAACTGAATATACATTCTTGTAACACGAGGAAAATAACTACTCATGCACCAATGAATAACCTCACTCAATAGATGAACGAAAACCTTCAAACAATTCTGAAAAACACTTTCACAACCTATTCATGTTTGATTTCATCAACTGTTCGTTAGCAAGTTAGCCTGTTTCAGTGATTTGAGCAGTCTACAAAGGAGTACCATAATTTCATTATGCAGAGATGTGTATCTAGCGAATTGATTCCTATTGATGATTTTTTTATCATATCTCTCTAGAACGGTATGTTCCATTTCGAAAGTTTTTGTATTGACATCATGAATTATTCTTTCAGTAGATGTTTTTGACTCACATGGAAATATTTACTGATATTGGTCACATTCATCATTATTCCGATAATGGATTTCTTGTACTTTCAGGCCGAAGTATATTTACCAAAATGATCAGTTTTTTTCTCGTGCGAATTACTTTCGAATAATGTTATGAATTACGTACTGTGATAGAGAAATATTATTTCTCGGAGTCCTATCAAGCCTTCTATAGAAATTGCAGAAATTGTAGTTCTCCTAACACGATATAAGGTGATATATCATCCTTTCGTATCGCTAGCCATTCACGATACAATATATACCTATTTATTCCTTCAGCCCTTGCGTGAACGATATTTCGCCATAGGGTGAAGGGGCTGTGCAGGTGGCTATATCAATAATGAAGGCCTTTCATAGGGCGAATTTATTATGAAATAATTTCGTACAGGTTCGTATTTCTTATAGAAGTTTCAATGGAATAATAATGATAATAATAATATATATAATGAACAAATTGTAAATGGGACGACATTCAACATCGTTGCTCTCCCATGAAACCCCCAAAAGTGCTATTTCAAATTGACATTGTGGATGTTAAAAAAAAACAAGAAATCAGGAATTAAACTTGGAGAGAGTGAAAGGAAAGTACAAAATATAGTGGCAAAATAGAACAGATATTTAACTCAGCTAATATTTTCACAGTTTCACATCCTTTCGTAACATAGTACCTGCACAAATAAGTGCGCACTTCAACTAGGTTGGATTTGACATGTCTCTTGAAGAAGTTTATATTTGGAGCGTCTTTCATAAAACTTCGTAACTCATTAAATATTTTTGTGGCAATATATGTAAATGATCTCTGGAACAGCTGTTCTATAATTTGATATTACGTATAAATCATTATTCCTGGTTGATCTGTCGTGGACATCACTTCCCCTGATCAATTTATTATGCAACGTATTGCGGAATTTCACATTTATTGATTTTGTGACGGAATGAACCTTTCATTTGGATTTAACCAATTTGATTCAGCAAACTGTGAACTGAAATGATCATATTTTCTCAAATTTTATCTGGATTTTACACAAGAATTTTGTACCTTTTGAAGACTTTATTTGTCGCTATCTAAGATGGCAAGCCAACATGCTATATCTACATATGAAATCCTTGACTAAATAAGAGAGTCGCAGAATTCCAATTCAAGGATTGTGCTGAGAATATCTCCATACATATAAAGAAATTTAAGTTTATAATATGATTGAGTCTGAGTCGAATAATAAACCATAAATATGACCGAACAATCTACCTCATGTCCACCTGTATATCCATTTTTTGATCGATCAAAAATCTGGATTCGAACAATTGAAGATATGCGTCCGACTCATGAATGTTCCTGATTTTTCAGAAACATTGTTGTTTTATATGTTGGGAAGCTCTCTACATGGAAAGAGGTCCAGTGCCGTTTCGAACGTGATGTTCATGAGGGCTTATCGAAAGTCATGATCGTCAGAAATATCTTGATGTCAGTTACAATCTCAATATCAGTTGAACAATGATATTTTGGAAAGGGTTAGGTTATATATTGTCTTCTAATGTGATTCGTAAGGCTCTATTGGGAAAGGGTGCTACTATATTTCCATCCTTATATTAGCGACAGATGATAATTACGTATGTGCCAGTCCCAGAATTGAGGACCATTGTTCGAAACGAATTCAACGTTATTTGAATTATTGAACTGATTGGTTTGGCTGCTAGACATCATTCAGTGAGTTCATCATATAACATGGTCCTGAAAGCGACTGAATTTGCTACATGTACTGGTTCAACTTAGATTGAACTTGAACAACCCCTATTCAGATGATATATTCTTTCCACCGTTGCGAGTCTACTACCAGTTGATATTTAGGAATGCTATATGTCAAATATTGAAATTTTTCATAAATGAGCTAGGAGTACGTGATATTGAATACACTACAGAGTGACATTATTAGTTCGAAAACGTCACATAGTGGTGAACAATTCAAACCAACATACGAGGAGATTCATAACTCTTAAGTAATGAGAAAATTCGCTCCCAATAGAAATATCCTGTATGATGAAACTCAAGTTGATCAGGATGTTGCCATTATTGACATCGCCAAAATGTTTTTTGTTGATGACCTGTTCAACGAATCCTCTTATGGTTGAATACATTTCATAATGAATTTGTCAATAGTTCCATGATCTTCATTTTACTGAATATAATATTCAATTTTGTTCTCAATGGCATGAGTTGTCAATTTGCATCTCATGATTATGAATCAACAGAATAATTATCTTCCATAACAATGTGATCTGAAATACCAAGATACCTTTCATGAAAAAATATACTTACTGCTCATTGTATTCTTATCATCAAGATCATATGGTTCCGATTGACAAAGCATTCTCAAATTTGTTTACGTGGTAATGAACAGCAGTGAAAGGTTCAATGAATAATTGCGATGATTTCAGTACATTGAGTCTAATGAAGCTTCACTTAACTGGTATTAAATTATAAGTTGAAAGCAACTTCATCGAATTATGTTCAAAATTTATCAATACAGTTCTCAATCAACGATTAGAGTTTGACTGACCTATGACTCGATCTCTTTCGGAAAATATTGTTGTAAATTCGTTATCTATGGTGTAAGTGGATGAACTTGAAGAAACTCATCTGAATAGGCTCAAAGAAATTGAATTTCGGCTGTTTCTTCTCAATCTTGAATACTACTGAGGTGGGTAAATATGTATAGAGTGTTTTAAGATGACACCGTACATCCGATGGATTATCATATTCCATATATTTCATTTGTAGGACGAGTTCTGTATGCTAGGAGTGGAGATCCGCACCAAATATCGAATAATATCAACTGTTTCATTCCGAGGTAGGTATATCGATATTTCCAGAGCAGAATAATGTTGGCAAAAATCTAGAATGATTCGATATAATTTATTATCTGCGCACCGTACGTAAGTATGGTGAGAAATCCCATAATGGTGTATCTAGTTTTCCATAGATCGATGCGTGTTCCAAAGCATATCGTGAAAAGAGCAAGTTGGGTCTCCACTGTGGTATGACTATAGTTATTAAACGCTATCCGGTCACGATTCTATAGTCTTTCTTGAGAGATCACTGGATTATATTTGGTGATAGATCACATTATATTAGACACTGATAGTTTGAGGGATATGGTATGGAAACCATGTTCAGAACATGAGTACATTCATTGAATCATCTTCATATAGAAGACGAATGAGCAGGGTGAGAAAGGTATACAATATATCGCACGTTGAGAACATTAGTGTAATCATTCAGAATTCTTTGTTCTGAAAAAATTTACTCTGAGAGTTTTTATCTCTAAAGGATATGAATTCTTCTCTGGTGGAGCTCATACACCGCGAGAAGAATATTTTCTGTTAGTTTGTAAGATATGGCATAAGCTCACATGCGAAATTTTTGGTTATTGTTATTTTCGGAAATTTGTTTCGAATTTTTCAATATATAGTTTCGAGTTCTCACAATCTTGATTTATCATATTCGACAATTTCTAGAGATGTCACTCCAAAGAAGCAGCAATTTTCTGAGATGCAACATCTCAAAAATTGGGTAATTAGTAGACCTCATTACAATCTATTCTTGGGAATTCTTTCGAACACACATTTTTCCAAATGTTCAATTCGAAGAGATTATGATATATTTTCTTCAAAATGAGAATTCAAACATAAAGTGGAGCTTCATATTTCATGCAATGGTTCATAGTTAGAACACATACCCTCGAAAGTTTCATTCTAGTTTTGCATTTCTTCTTCTATTTTTGAGGGCTATCTTCTCTTTGTTGCTATTTTCTGATTTTTTTGCAGAAGCTGGTAATGACTACTCCATTCCATCGAGTGCAAGTCATGCAACATGTAAGACAACTCAAAAATTTGTTGCGTTCCATTCAATATTTCATTTACTGTTGAACATTTCTTATAGTCATAATACGTGGCGTATCCTGCGAAGACTTGTCGACAAGGCAAAGAGTCACTTTCTCGCTCGGCTGTAGCACCTACTTCTCTTCTAGTGCAATAACGTGACGCAGCAGCTATCGGACCTAGAGTTGTCATTTGTCATAATACTTTAAATGGGAGAGCTCGAAATTTGCTATCCCACGGTGGTTCAAACTCAAAAATCAACTTCTTCAAGTTGTCACACTATTGTTCTCAACGTGGGATATCTTCTGTTTCTAGTGCCGCTGGTTCGAGAGCCATCCCATCGACTGGATCTACCAGTCTCCAACACTAGCCGTCCTCCTTCTCAACCTCCTCTTCCTCGCCAGCATCATGTGGGTGCTGATCACCAAGCTGCGCTCTGCCCACACTCTGGAGACGCAGCAGTACCGCAAGGCGGCCAAGGCGCTGCTGGTGCTCATGCCGTTGCTGGGCGTCACGTACGTGATCACCATCTACGCGCCCACGCCTACTGGGACTTCCGTGGATGTGTTCGAGTGCTGGCGAGCAGTGCTTCTGTCGACGCAGGTGAGATGATTTGGATTTGAATAATTCGATTATCTGTGTAGTATTTGCAAAGTCAGTTGAGACACTTCCGTTTCAACATCCCCAACGCACTATCAGACGAATTTTGCTTGGTCTCAAAACGAATAAGGCTAACGGTCCTGATGGAATTCCACCCATTATCCTCAAAAAATGTGCTCCAGAGTTGACACCGATTCTCCGCAAGTTGTTTACCGTCTCGTACAGGTCGAGTATTTTTCCCCAAAAAAGGGAACAAGAACCTGCCCAATAACTACAGGTCCATTGCCCTGTTATCAGTAATCTCCAAAGTGATGGAGAAAGCCAACAATATTGAGCTTATCAAATATCTGGAGAGCTCAGGAATCATCAATGATAGACAATACGGCTTTCGCCACCGAAGATCTACTAGAGATCTACTTGCCTACGTCACCCATTCATGGCAAGCTTCATTAGAAAAACGCGGGAAATCTCTAGCTGTTGCGTTGGACATATCGAAAGCATTCGACCGTGTTTGGCACGAAGGACTCCTCCACAAACTACCATCATACGGCTTACCACCTCAGCTATTCCATCTCTTATCGAGTTTTCTTTCAGGCAGATCGCTTCACGTGGTGGTGGACGCTGTATCGTCTGGTACCAATGGCATCAATTCCGGCGTTCCACAAGGATCGATTTTGGCACCAACCTTATTCTTGCTTCATATCAATGATCTGTTTGAAGTAACAACTTGCCCCATCCACAGCTTTGCAGATGATAGTACCCTCCATACTGCGTTCTCTTCCAGAATTCCCATCTCTTCCCAGGAAACTAAGAACTCACGGCGCAGGCAGGTCAATGCTGTCAATGAAGATCTAGCTGGAATCACAGCCTGGAGAACCAACAACCTAGTTGAATTCAACGCCACCAAAACGCAAGCCTGCATTTGCTCTAGAAAGGCGTAACTCAGTATGCCCGATATTGTAATGTCTGGCTCCACCATCCCCACCAAGCCTACCATATCTATGCTCGGTATTTCCATCAGCAACACTCCTTCATGGGATAATCATGTCAGATCCATCGCAAAAGCTGCCTCACAAAAACTCGGATTCTTGTTCCGTGCGAAAAGCTACTCTATACCTCAACAGCTTCTCATGATCTACAAAGCGCAGATACGGCCTGTTCTAGAATACTGTTCCCACATATGGGGTTCAGGACTAAAACATACGCTGATGCTCTCAGATTCCATCCAGAGAACAGCCATTCGCCTGGTGGGTGACGCCACACTCACTCACTCTTTGACATCATTGGAACACCGTAGAAAGGTCGACGACCTGTCACTTTTCTATCGATACTTCCACGGGAAATGTTCTTCGGAAATCTCTGCTATCATCCCTTCACTAGCAATACCAATCAGACGAACTAGACAAGCCAAGTCAGCACATCCTTTCGTTGTCAACCTCGAAAGATGTCGAACAGCACTTTATCAATACTCCTTCATCCATAAAACGGCTAGGCTCTGGAATTCATTGCCTGTGGAAGTATTCCCAGCAACATATAATCTCCAAAAGTTCAACAAAAATGCCAATACCTACTTCCTGTCCCTATCCTCCCTAGGAACGCACGATGTCCTCTGAACATCATAGGGATTCCCTTTCGTGCGCTTCAAGCGATTAAAAAAAGGCAGATCGCTTCACGTGGTGGTCGGCGGTGTATCGTCTGATACCATTGGCATCAATTCCAACGTTCCACAAGGATCAATTCTGGCACCAACATTATTTCTTCTTCATATCAATGATCTGTTGGGAGTGAAAACTTGCCCCATCCACAGCTTTGCAGATGATAGTACCCTCCATATACTGCGATCTCTTCCAGCATTTCCATTTCTTCCCAGGAAACTAAGAACTCACGGTGCAGGCAGGTCAATGCTGTCAATGAGGACCTTGCTGAAATCACAGCCTGGGGAACCAACAACCTAGTTGAATTTAACGCCACCAAAACTCAAGCCTGTATTTTCTCTAGAAAGGCGGAACTCAGTATGCCCGATATTGTAATGTCTGGCACGATAACCCCCACCAAGCCCACCATATCTATGCTCGGTATTTCCATCAGCAACACTCTTTCATGGGATTATCATGTCGGATCCATCGCAAAAGCTGCTTCACAAAAACTCGGATTCTTGTTTCGTGCGAAAAGCTACTTTATACCTCAACAGCTTCTCATGATCTACAAAGCGCAGATACGTCCTGTTCTAGAATACTGTTCCCACATATGAGGTTCAGCACCAAAGCATACGCTGATGCTCTCAGATTTCATCTAGAGAAGAGCCATCCGCCTGGTGGGTGACGCCACACTCACTCACTCTTTGACATCATTGAAACACCGTAGAAAGGTCGGCGACCTTTCACTTTTCTATCGATACTTTCACGGGAAATGTTCTTTCGAAATCTCTGCTATCATCCCTTCACTAGCAATACCAGTCAGACGACCTAGACAAGCCCAGTCAGCACATCCTTTCGTTGTCAAGTTTCCAAGGAAAAGTGATTACAAATAAAATATATTCGAAGAAATGATGTAATCAACCAGTCCAAGGATTTTTCATAGTACTTCCATTCTATGGAAATAGAATTTGACACTGTATATGGAAATAGACGGTGATAGCTTCCATTCTATTTTTGTGCGTTTTATAGAAGTCCGCAGATTTCTTGCACACACCCGCATTCTTATACAGAAAGAAGTTCGGAAACTTTTATGAGCAGGCAAATCAAGAAATTTCAGAAAAGCTGAAAGTATAGTTTCCGTTTATTCGCCTCCGGGGTTTTCTTAATCTGTTCACTGCGTCCAATTGGTCTCCGGGGCATTACTAGACCCTTTCTGGAAATCCATGCATATAGATGAGTTTCCTCTGGAATTATGGAAAAGATCGCCGCACACGCACTGGGAAAGGAATTCTCTTTTCGATGACAGCTATAGATTACGAAAATGCTTCCCTTCGTTTTCCGCCGGAGTCGTCGGATTGTCAGCAGCGAATTTACGATAAGAGAGCAGTGATTGTTCAGAAAGAATTACTCACTGATGCTGGTTGTACCACTTTCCCAAAATTAAGTTGGATATATTTGAAGTGAACCGAGTGACCTACATCTATAGTATCTTCGTTGTTATTCCGTAAATATATCTTGATGTACCGGGTGATTGTTTATGGAGTATTTCTTATGAGTTTTCAGAATCTAGTATAAGAAAATGCAGAAAGAATAGTTAACCGAAGAATTTCACATAAACTGGGATTGTTCAGATGGAACTCCCTGTAGTTCAATTCCTCAAACGGTAGAGTTCTTTCTTCTGGTTTCTAACTTGGGTCAATTATGCATACAACCTTCCATCAATAATATCCCTCATTATATGTTTGTTAAATAATATTCTGTTCATTCCTACGTTGTCGAGCATCATGAATCTTTCATTTCAATCTCTAATATTATGGAAGGATAAATGAATCATGATAATTTGCAATTGTACCAATAATATTTTACGTTCGTTATGGTACAAAATGATGATCATGATTTGTCACTCATTTTTATGCAAATAAATTCGTTACTCGATGAAACGGATCTATTGTTCAGGAAAGGTGCCCGTTCACACCACACAAAATACTGACGAGCACACCGCAAGAGCCATAGATCTAAGAAGGACTCTGATTGTATGTTTTTGTTCACAAGTTCCACTTGTGACGGTGGTTGAGGTGGGGTTGGGCGATATTTGTCATCTTCCACGAGTCTGGTATTTTTCCATTTCAAAGGAGAATAGCTAGAGTCCAACCAATCTTCGAAGGAGGAAACAAACAAGAGCCTGCCCAACAACTATAGGCCAATCACACTGTTATCGATCATCTCCAAAGTGATGGAGAGAGCCTTCAACATTGAGCTCATTGAATATCTGGTGTGCTAAGGAATCATAAATGATAGACGATATGACTTTCGCCTCCAAAGATCAACCGGTGATTTACTTGCCTACGTCACCAATAAGGTATATGATGATCTTCTATAGGAAAACATGGGAAATCTCTAGCTGTAGCTCTAGATATATCGAGGGCATTCTCAACCGTGTTTGGCACCAAGGAATGCTCCACAAACTACCATCATACGGTTTTCACTTCAGCTATGCAATCTTCAATCGAGTTCTGTTTCAGGCAGATCGCCATATGTGGTGGTGAACGTAGTATCGTCTGATACCATTTTCATCAATTTCAGCAATCCACAAGGATTAATTCTGGTACCAACATTATTCCTACTCCATATCAAAGATTTATTGGGAGCAACCACTTGCCCTATCCACAGCTTTGCAGACGATAGTACGCTTCAAACTGCGTTCTTTTCCAGAATGTCGATTCCTATCCAGAAAACTAAGAAGAAGGAGAAGAACAGGAAATTACAGCCTAGAAAACCAACAACCTAGTTGACTTTGTGGCCACCAAAACGTTAGCCTGTATTTTCTTCAGAATGGCGGAACCCAGAATGCCTGATATAACAAAGTCTGGCACCACCATTTCCACCAACACTACTATATCTATGTATGGGGTTCTGCACCCAAACATTCGCTCATGCTCTCAAATTCCATCCAGATGAGAGCCATTCGCCTGGTGGGTGATGCCACACTCACTAACTCTTCGATTCCATCAGAACAGTGTGAAAAAGTCAGCGACCTTTCACTTCTCTGTAGATACTTCCACGGGCAATGTTCCTCAGGAATCTCTGCTATACTACCAGTCGCAGTCAGACAAACCCGACAGACCCATCAGTCAGCATATCCCTTCCTCATCAACCTTGAAAAATATCGAACAACACTTCAGAACGGCGAAGCTTTGTAATTCTCTGCAAATAGGAGTATTCCCAAGAAATAATATAACCTCTGAAAGTTCAAATAAATTCCAACACCTACCTCCTCTCCTTGTCCTCCCAAGGTACTCGCGATGTTTCACGAACACTATAGGAATTTCCTTTCGTGCGTTCCAAGAGATGAAGAAAAGAAGAAAA